AACCACTGAGCTATCCCTCCCCCTCAGGAATAACTTTATTACCCCGCTAAACCACATTCAAGACCTTCAGACTTGAATATGCAGAGATAAAATCATCTTCTTTACCCTCAAAGAACAACTCACCTACCCCACCCATGTAGAGGAAAAGGCCAAACTCCAGGACCTGCAGTTTTACATTTACAATGAGCAGGTGTTTTTGGTGATTGTTTTTGCTGTTGCAGTTTTTGCCATACCAATCTTCTGTTGGTTTCTTCACCTTGGAGCCATATCAAAAGAGAGAAAATACTGTAATTAAACAGAACAATTCACAGAGACACAAGGGTACAAGTATGATCTAAAGTGGAAGTTCACCTTTTTGATCTGCACTGTTGATCTCTTATCTGTCTTGCAGATCTCTATTGCATAATCTGCAGATGGATGGATAGACCACCCATCAGTGTTAATAGAAGTGCCACATGTTGAACAAGTCATAAATGTGCAAAAGATTTGCCCTTGGGCCAAAGAAGACTTTTGCCCTATGTCAGAAATTATTATAGGTTCACAGAGCACATATCTAAAACATCCTACCAGAAGTCACTTGTTCTCCAGATGTTGGCTAACAAACTCTCTTGCACTTGAGCACTTCTGCTCATTGTAACCCAGATACTCAGGGGTAAACACAACAGAGAAACATTGGATTCATATTGTGGCGCTATGTTTCCTCAAAGGTTTCAGGATCCCAAAGCTTGCAGAATATTTCAGTCATTAAAATGTAATAAATCTGGTGAAATTTCAAAGTTTTTTTTACTGTACCATGGAGTTCAGTCTCCTGAAACTTTTTGTGAGATAGAGGATTATAAATTCCAGGGTCCAGCCAAATTCTAACTAAGGTAATTACACTCAGCCTATTTAACATTCTCCAGCAGTTTCAATTGGACATGGTAATCTTCACTTCCTGCATAAAACTGCTGTGTAGTAGTGCTGTGCATTATTCAGCATTTGCGGCATTTCCACCCTGGGGTAGCTTCATTTCACTGGTGGATGAAGTGATCTTCATGTGTTGTTTCTGTATCACATTTATGTTGGTAAAGTACTATCGGGTCCTTTGGAGATGAAAGATGCTATATCCAGGGAATACTGTTATAATAATCCTCTGCTATGATCTACTTCAGTGGGAAGATAAAAACAGTGTGTTCTGTTTTGTTCATGTAACTTATTTTAATGTAAAATATAATTACAGCACCCACCCAGGGTGTAAGTTATTGTGTAATTTTACAACTCCATACCTAGATGAGTGTTGGCATTCAATCTACATACCCACCACACCCACAACTGCACACATCCTATTGTGGCTAATTACATAATAATTTGTATGAGACAGATTAAAATCAGTTGTGCAAGTCTTTTTATTTCACTGCAAAGTAAAAATAAAAGATAGCAAAACAAATATGTAGTGAACACTAATACTCAGATAAGTTTCAGAATGTATCTTCCATCAGATTACATATAATAGTGCATACTCTAGACATATTTGAACACATGCTTGGCAGTCTCTTCATTACTGCTACATCAGGCAACATTTACTTTTAAAAAAAGTTTTATTATTACAAATGCAAAACAATCAGGAAGCACTAGTCCTAATTCTGCCTAGTTCTGAGTTACGAACAACTGTCATGACCAGGGATTAATTTTTTGCAGTCTATCCAGGGAAAGGAAGATCGCTCTTTACTATAATTCTGGGGTGGAATTTGGAAAAAAGAACCTCCTAAAATTAGGAATCACCTTGACAACTATCCCAAATATTGTTGTGCTAAGGAAGTGGAGATGAGCCTGAGCTATTCGAGATGGATCCAAATTTTCCAGAGGTTTGAACATGGTATCCTGATCCAGGTCTTTTAGTCTACTCATTACAGAGATTGGCTAGACATAAAGTTTGAATCTGTTTGGATTTAACTGCTGTCAAAATCTGGAGGCTTTAAGACCTGAGGCTTTAGCTGCCTCATACCTTAAAAGGTATATATTTTCAAAGTGTATATGTAGCATAGCTTTTACAACTAAGAGTTTCTACTCCAGCCACAGTTCATGGAAGAAAATACAGAGTTTTGGTTCCGTGCCAGGTGCTTTTATAATACGTTACACAATAAGTGCATCATACATGCTAAGTCTGGGGCAGCTTCCTTACATTGGTGCTATCAGGTCCCACTTAGGTTCCCAGAGTCTCAGGATCTTGTGACAGGAAGGATGGGAAAAAGCATGTGTTCTCAGGTGGAAGCCTGTTCTCCTGGGTGTTTGCCTCTTCCTGGGGACTCCTTTGAAGTGGGTAGAATTACAATTTTTTAAAATTTTGTCACTTTACTCCTATTCCTGCCCTCACCTAAATATTGCCATTGTAATCAGCAATCTTCCTTCTGCCAGGGAGTTGGCAATAGATGGAATTCCTCTGTTGTGGACAAGCTGGGGACACTCAGAATAAGTAGGAAGTTCAAATAGGCATGAGAAAGGTGCAGCTTGTCTCTATATTGCATGCAGGGAAACTAGGAAAAGCTCAGCAAAGTACCAAAAGTTATATTCCAAAATAACAGCAATGAGGTCACCATAGTGCTGGTCTTAACCAGTTTCAGAAGAAGTAGAAGAATCACTTACGGGGATGCCAGTTTCATAACTCTCCATCCTACCCTGCAACAATGTGGATCTGCCCATGATACTTGTTCTACTCAAGGCATCTCATTCACCTTAATGTGGCTCCTGCTGTCTCACATGCTCTCTCTTCCTCGCTGTCACCCTTAGCCCAATGCTTTGGCTGCCAAGGGCAAGGGGCACCATGTGCAGCCAAATGGTTCACACGTGCTTGGGACCAGCCTGGTGTCACCACTTGATAAGTACCTCCAGCAACTTCGACTTTGCACCAAGGACTGATGTTCCCTTTATATACTTGCTGCTTGCAAAATGTCATTTTTCAAAACTTCAAGATGTTTTTGATAGATGTGTTTGTCAAAAAGTGGACACAAGGATGCTCACACCAATGCTGAGGAAATATGGAATGTCTACGGATTTAATATTTATGGCGAATGCACTATATACATCACCTAAAACAGTGATCTGAACAGGTACTGGAACGACAAGCCCTTTGAAGTGCAAGTCAGACTGCACCGGGGTCAGCTCTCAGTCCGCTGCTGTTTATCATATTGATGGCCTATGTCAGCAGGAAGAACCCAATGCGAAAAGGGGAGAAGCTGCTATACACAGATGATATAGCAATAAGGGCATCCGCAAAAGAAGACCTAGAGGAAAAAGTAAATCAGTGGTCTGACCAGCTAAGCAGGCACGGGATGAAAATGAACATGACTAAGACTGAGGTCATGTGAGTCAGTAGAGGTGCCACAGGGAAACTGGATATAGAGATTAATGGACCATGACTAAACCAGAGTGACCAGTTCAAGTACCTTGGTGGCTGGGTTATGGAAGACAGCAAGCTTGAATGTGACTGCAGTCCAGATTGGAGAGTGCTGGATGAGTGTGGAATAACATCCTAGATGTTGCTTATGAGAAGCATACGCCACTGACACTGAGATTCCAAGTGTACTCCACAACGCTGTATGGTGAAGAAGCATGGGTAAGATACAGCAGGTTCATTGCCGACAGATGTTTGAGATGAGCTGTCTTTGCATAATAAAAAGAGTTACATGAAGGGACAGATTTAGAAATGAAAGCATTAGGATGGAAGTCAATGTCCGTGATGTGGCTGACAAAATCCAGGAAGTGCAACTTTGCTGGTTTGGACACGTGCACAGGATGAATGAAGAGGATTTGGGGACAGGACAGGGTGGTTGGAAAGAGACCCCAAGGAAAGCTGAAGCAGCGATGGATGGATTGCATCAAAGAAGATGGTAAGCAAGTGGACTTTAGTGCTGCCTTGGACAGAAGAAGATGGCAGATGCTTGCATGATAACTCGACCCCAGGGGATGAGATAAGGAGAAGAAAAAGACGAAGTGATTGTCAAAATCTCCCTAAAAAAAAAGAAAAAAGAATAATATCCCCCAAGGCTTTGTGATTTTATGACATTTGCCCAATCAGAAATGGCTGAGCTCATTTAAATATATTTTTATTTAATTTTTTTTTTAAAAATGCACCTGGCCTGACAACACAAGGGCTACATTGCTTCCTGATGTGATTTCAAATGGCTGAGAAATTAAAACACTGAAAAACGGGGTTTATAATGGAAATGCTGACAGACTATTAACTATAGCAGCACTGCTCTAATAAATGGAATGGCCTGTCATAATCTCTAGTTCATAAATATGCAAATACAAGGCAGAAGATTTGCTCCAAAGGATGTCTCTATAATTTTAACTGACCTTTACTGATACTAAATGAGCTTGTTGCTTCTGTTTTTGTGCATTAAATATAAAGTACAGGGAATCCTGCCTGTCTACCTACAAGGCCTACTCCGGTTTCCATTGAATTCAGCGGCAACACCGCCATTGTCTTCAGCTGAAGCAGGATGTTTCCTAAAACATATAGTTTAAACTGCTAAGCATTAAACTGAACTCTTGCCTGTGTTTAATTCTGTTCACATTTGTGTTAATTATGATTGCATTAATTCTCATTTAAATTAAGCACCTATTTTCCCCATGTGTCAAAGAGTCTGACCTGCCAACAAACACTCACTCATCTGATGAAAAACAGGCCATCAACACAATGATATAAAATTGAATTTTATCCAGTTTCCTGCTTTGGACCAAATGGAGGTAAATCCAGTGACTTAATATTTAATAATCTAAATGTAATTTGTTTTGTGTCTTTCATCACACAGTAAAGAATTGGATGAGAGCAGTTTTGCAGATTGGCCCCCTAATTATTTTAAGCTATTCATCCTGGTATCTGTCCCATTGATGCTCAGCCAAACTGCCAGCGGGGGAGAGATCTGTCCAATCCAGGAGCTAAATGAGTCACTGAGAGTCAATCTGTTTTTTCCCTTGCTGCTGGGGTTTCCTTGGGTCCTGGCCTTGCTCTGCTTCAGTCATACACACAGCTTCAGGCCGAAACCTTCTTTGGCTTTGACTGCCTCCTGTTTCCCCATCTCTGCTCTGCTCATCACAGCTGTTGATGGGTTCTGACCGGCTGGCCACAGAAGACCAACGCCTCGATCACATTGTTCTACAGTTCTCGCTCTGACGGAAAATGAAGACATCTTGGCCTCGTTGTATTTGCTGCTGCAGTAATACAATACGTATCTAGAGGGAAAGCAAAACACATGTACAAAATCTGTCATTTAGGTTAGATACTAATTTATCTGTCTTAAGTTCTGGGAACAATATTTGTACTTTTCCCAGTTAAGTTCCATAGAAACTGAATACTAATATGACTTTTTACAGCATGGAAAACAAATATGAAACAGAGAAAAAATACACTTGTGAGAAATATTAGCTGCTCAGTATTAAAATATCTGACAATACTCTGAATATAATTTCTAAACTGGAATATTTAGGTCCTAACTGTATTCACTAAAAAGCAAATTTCTTGATTCCTCCCTTTTAGGGTCAGGATTCAATTACACAAAAATATGCAGCCGACTTAAAGACTGCATGTAAGATTAAGATAACTGGTATTTCATGGCAAATGATTAAACTAGCTGACACAGTTTTATCCTGAACTTTGCCATTAAGACTGACATTTTTATGCAACGTACATTGTAGTCTGCTGGTAATCTAAACTGCTGTATGTCGTTCTTCTTTCAAGGGCTTTAAATAGCAAAGAACTGGTCTTCTTTACCCTTATTGCAAATGTACAGGAAATATGTGTACGCTGTAACAAGATGAACTGTCTCTGATTGGAGTGTACTTGGCTAACTTTAGAACCTGGTGGTTCTTATCCACCATATAAACAGCCCAAAGAAACAGCAAAGATGTTCAGAACACACACACTCAGATCTGCTGCATGTACGGGAATGAGGACATTTATACAGCTCTAATTGGGATGAGAACATGTCCTCTGCACAGCAAGTCAAAATAGAAAAAGTGGCAAAAGTCTCTTACCACGAGTATAACTATTCCTTTAATACAGTTGTAAGCAACTCTATACTTTATTGTCGTATGTATTAATACCACTGTTCCGGCTTTCTTTTCCTTGCTGGCAGGAAGCTATAGGAATGACTCTGTTAGAAAATGTAACAACAATGTAGGATCATGGGAACTGCCATTTTGGATAAGAACATATCCTAGTCCCATATCCTGTCTGTGTTAATAGCCAGTACCACATAACCAAAACAATTACTGGTACTGTAGAATGACCTACCTGTAAGAGACATTTCCTTCCCAATCCCCAGGTAGTCAGGCCTAGATCCTCCCACTGCAAGTTAGACACCTCAATACCTTAGCGGAGCCTGGCCTTAGTGGCTGGCTTATGCTCTCCATCTGAGGCTTTATGAAATGTTCATGCATGTATCATAGTTTGCTTTCTCCTGTGTGCTGACATGGTGATAAAAATCTCTGCTCACTGAAGGGGGTAATAAAGGTCTCTGTAGGACAGTATACTCAACTGCTTTGGGTCAGTTTCTCTGCTGGAATATGTTGTGGAAACTCCATTGAAGTCAATGGAGCTGTGCCCATTTATTCCAGCAGAGAATTGGCGCCTTGTGTTTAGTGCAGGATTCTCAGAGGTTTATGCATGACAGGAATTCCATGGCAATGTTGCTGGATTCCTTGTCAGTCATAAATAATTGAGTAAGATTAAGGACTCACTTTTACATCCTGGATTTTATATTAGTTCTAATACAGAACATAAAACACTGGTTTTACAAAGCATCTTCCACCGGAAGGAAAAAATATAGCTTTATACAGTAACACCAATTTTATGAAAGGATGACTTTCAATCAAAAGAAATTTACATGAAAACAGTTTCATTGTTTGAGAACTTATACGAATGCAGGACAACAGGACTCAACCTGATTCTCAGAAAATCAAACCATATGACCATCTGACAAATTGTGTTACTCAAAATTTCTCATCGCTCACATGTAGAAATGTCTCAGCTTTTAAATACTGTGTAGATGATATAGCAACTTTCACTTTTCTTTCTACATTTCAAACCTTGAAAAACTTTCATAACAGTTAATATGAATCATCTAGCATTTCCTATTCCAACATGTTACACTGATCATTCATTAACTATTAAAAATGAAGATAACTATCATGAATTTTGATATAACTCAAAGTGTTAGAAAGGATATACAAACAACTCACTCACTCGAGTAACTTTTAGATTACATATGAGGACACATCCACACTGTTCTTTATTGTCAAATGCAATGCATCACTCAATTATCCGTCCATTATTAGAATATTTTCTTTCACTCCTTAGCACAAGTAGTTTGGGTTTTCTCTGATACCCAGCACAAAAGCGTTCCAACCACTTTATAGTATATAGGCCTGATTTGGTCCCAGGGTAATTCCATTGATTTTGGAGATCAAAATCTTACCTAAGACACTACAAAGTTTTATCTCTAAGAGCTTTTGCCTGAATAGTTCTGCTTACATGTATATGTCCTTATCTTGGTGTGAATACATATGTGAAGGGAATGATAAATGCGTAGGCCTTAATTGACGTGGGAGTGGTGGTTTTGGGTTCATCACAAAAATTGGCATTCTTTATTATTTATACAGTAATGTAGGTATTTTAGGTGTACACAGCTCTTAAAAATATAAGAAGACAGCTACTCTCCCCAAAAAGCTCAACATCTAATCAGACATTACACTGAGAGTAACAACACTAGATAATAGTGCAGCAGTTAGGAAGGGAAGGAGCAAGATGGTTACAACAGATAAAGATTATGGATGAATTTTACTCCCCGTCACACTGCTGTGCATGGAGAATAATGCCATGGAAGTCAATGGAGCTACTTTAGGTTTATATCAGTCTAAGGGTATGTCTACACTACAGGATTAATCCGAATTTAGATAATTCGAATTTGGGAAACAGGTTGTATAAATTCGATTGTGCGCGGCCACACTAAGCACATTAATTCGGTTTTTAACCACATTAATTCGGTGGTGTGCGGCCACACTACCCCATTACTTTAACCACAGTAATTCGGTGGTGTGCGGCCACACTAACCCTAATTCGAATTAACAAAATCGATTTAGGCTCTACTCCGCTCGTCGAGGTGGAGTACAGAAATCGATTTTAAGTGCCCTTTAATTCGAATTAACTGGCTCTGTAGTGTGGACGGGTGAAGGGTTAATTCGGATTAACGCAGCTAAATCCGAATTAAAGTCGTAGTGTAGACCAGGCCTAATAGAGATCAGAATTTGACTCAGTTTGATTTGCTTTTTACATTTGCTTCTATATATCTTGTCAAGTCCATACTTCTACATTTGCTTTAAACATTTTTAAATTTCACAGGCTGGGCATGGATTTAATGAAGGCTTGATTCTGCACCACTGGGAGTTTGGCTAGGGACTGCAATGGGAGTGGATCAGCCTCTTAATGCCAGCTGTTCTGCTTCGGTAGGGACAATCCCTTTTTAAGAAAAAAAATGAACCTTTTCTCAGTCCATTGATCCAAAAAGATCTTCCATTACAAAGAGCTCAGCAGAGTTAACAGTTGCTTCTCTATTTGTCCTCCCAAGTATTCCTACTTATAACATATAACTGTGGATGAGGTACATATTGCAAATCTGAACACAGGGAAACCCTCTGATCACCATATAACTGACAAGTGTAAGTTCCACAGAGGAGTTTATATGATCACTTATTCTACAATGGGTGAAACCTGTTGGTGGGATAATTGACAGCATTCACTCTTTCAGTTTCTTCTCCAGGGAGTTGTAGAGAGTGGGATTTAAATGTTTCAATAGCTGTAGCAGAGGGTGAGATCCTGTAGGAAGAATAAAAGAGGAAGCCCTAGAAACAGATAGGAAGATGGTGGAAACAAAGAAAACTGGTAACAAGTGGGGAGTCATGAGGAACAGAGACTCTGAACATTATCAGAGAAACAGAGTTAAGAGAGTGCAACAGCAAGATTAATACTGCGTATATCTACAGATCCACCCAAGGATCTCCAAGTACTTTAAGTACGGAATTAAGCCCATTTTACAGTGAGATAAAGAGTCAGCAGCAGACCAGGGAAGAGAACCAAGCACTTTTGATGTATAGTCCTGTATTTTAACCAGTGGATGCACTAATTCAGAGCTGGTGTGGGAGTTGTATGTAGCCCATTTCCTCCAGCCCTTTTGGCTGAGGTTCATTTGGCCAAAGGACTTGAAACATAGATTACATGAAGTTTTGTAAAGCAATTACTGAATTTTTAAAATCCCCTTAATTGCATTCTAAATACATTTCCATAAAAATCAAAGTACTTTTCCTTTTTGTGAGAACTTTGTTTATTCCATAAAACATTAAAACATTTTGAAAAGCTCCAGAAAATTTTAAGAGAGAAAACCTTTTGATCTAAAAATCCAGGATTGAAGAATCAGCGGGGAATTCAAGAAGAATTATGTCCTCCCAAAGTAGTAAACATATGGAATAATTTGAGTTTAAGAGAGTTAGACATTTTTATAGAATGAAAGGAGGAACTGAAAGATACAATGACTAAGCAGGGCACTGGGTCTGACTTTCTGTTCCAAGTAGCTCATTCCTTATAGATTTTTATGGCTCTCCTAGCCCCAATATTAAACACTTGACCTTTTTGTCAAATACTATTTTAGATTATTAGACTGGATGATTAGTTACTAAATATATGGTCTACAATAAATAGGAAATTGTTCAGTACAGTGCTTCAACCTCAGTTCTTTCAGGTATTGCTCCCTTGATATTTAAAGTTAGAACATCAAATCCCCTTATATTAGCGTTACTTAACCAGTTTGATGCCCAGAAGCCGCACAAGGTTTTCATATGGGGCATACAGATTTCTCATGGGGCACTATCCTGAATGCCCCAAGTCAATGGTTTTAAGCATACATCACCCTGAGAAGACAGGCTGCATAAGGAAGAAAAAGCAGCCCAATTAGCAATCACTATGGTGCATGTTTAGGAGAGGACCCCATGGAGTCCACAGACTTATTTATAATGCACAAATCTAGCACTAATGTAGCAAGACATTTTCAGATTTTGGGAACTAGTTCCTAACTACTAACAAATGTCATAATTAGGTTTTTTTAAACAGATACTGGACCTGATTTACACTGGTGTGATAGTTGAATCAGGCCCATTAGCTTTAATATAGTATGTAAGATCGG